CATGCCCAGTTCCATTCCACAAGTTCTTTCACTCACACCATCCACTGGTCCCCTGTTTCTCTCCATTGGTGTCACTGCAAGGAGCTCTGTGCTGACTGGAAAGATCAGGGACAGGAAGGCCTCTCTCCAGTCAAGTATTCTTAGAAGCAAAGGACTAAGGTCCCCTCACTGCACAGGTCACATATTCCCATCTCTACCCTCTGGGGTGGTAAAAGGGCTGCTGCTCTCCAGACCCCAGAAAGGGAGAAGCCTGTTATTGCTGGTCCCATCAGCAGCCCCTATGAGAACCAGGCCAGAGAGAGGCACAGCGCAAGCACCAGGAGGGACACACCACTGTTCAGAGCCACAGGGACTACCACCAGCCCAGCCAGGACACCCAGAGTCTGGGTCAAGGGCCCCCGGAGCTGGGGAGGTAAACCATACACACATTCTGCAGGGGCTGCTAGGGTAGGAGACTTCTTTGGGGGCTCAAGGCTTGGGCCTTCACCCTCTTCGTCCTGGGAGCATACATAGGGCCCAGTCACACTAGGACAGACTTCAGCCCCCAAGGGACCAAGAAAGGTGGGATTTTGCCCCCTCAGAAGGACTGGAGCAGCTGGATCCTTGCTGGATATAGGATCTGTGTCATCTGCCCACTCAGAAGTAACCTCCAGCTGGGCTTCTGTCTTGGCCTCCCCCAGGGACTCAGTCACCCCAACTATCATCCTATTCATGTTTAAAGAGTTGGTGTCCTTGCCCATCCCTTTTTCTGGATCCCCAGAGAACTGACCCTCTGTACCCAGAACCACAGGGCTGTCACATCCTGAACCCTCAGCCCATGGGAGCCACACATCTCCCATAGTGGCCACCATAGAACGGGCCCCAGAAAGGATTTCCGGAGGTGATTCCTTGGGGCTGTCCCCTTCTGGACTGGAGGGTATGATGGAGAGCCCCTCTTCGCCCTCTCCCTCCTCATCAGGGTCCTCAGTGTCCTTGATGAGCTCCACGCCACGCCCCAGCCGGGCATAGTGCAGCGTGATCTCCTCAGCCAGGGCGCTGTTCAGGGCCCGCTCAGGGCCAGGCCACTTCAAGATCAGGTCACGGTCCGTGAGTATGCCCAAGGGATGGTTGGGGGACATGCCCCCATCCATGGGGCCCTCCCCACTACCCCCTATGCCACCTGCAGCCACAGCAGCTCGTAGGCGGCTCAGGTGGGACAGGTAAAGCTGCTCCAGCTCCTGGTCGATGGTGTCTTCGCCAAGAAGCTCCTCCAACCCACTCACCACCTCCAGACCCCCAGGGGGCTCATCCATAACAGCTCCCACCACAGGGTCCTTTCGATCCCCTCCATTCTCACTCAATACTTCCCATGTAGCCTCCATCTGCTGCTGGCTGGGTTCCAGGAAAGGCCCAATGGCCCCCTCACTTGCATCAGGCCCTGAGGCCTGGTCCCTGGGGGAGCCAACCAGGCCACAGAGAGGGGAGGAGGGGAGAATCCTGATGGCTGGTGCCTGAGGGACCTCTGTAAAAGCCACAGGTGGACTGCTTCTGGGGATGTCACCTTCTTCTGGAGGGTTGCCCATCAATGTAACTTCAGAAACCTGGAGCCATGGGGATGGGGTGGAGAGAAAGGAAAGGAATGAAGTAGAAGAAAAGATGGGACAAGCAGAGATACTAAGAACTGGTGACATCCCATACCCTGTTTAAAAATGCCTTAAAGAGTCTTCTGTAATCCTCCCAACTCCAAAGACTCTGTCATCTATATTAAAATAAGAGTAAAAGCAGACAAAAAGGCTGAGGAATTCAGTAGGCATCAATATTTGGTGATGAAGCCAGCCCCATAGTATAACACGGTAGTTAAGTACTATGCAAAGGAAGCTGTATCTCACATGGCCAACCAGGTTTGAGTCCTGGGCCCAGCAGCTTACAGCTAAACACACACATGCAAATGCGCCCAGGATCCTGATAGGATGGAGACTTGGAGGAAAAAGGATTGCAGTGTGCCCAAGCCCCATTGCGGGTGCTTTCTATCCCTCCCTCATTTACTCCCTTCTCTCCCATCCCCTTAAAAATACGTACATGTGGGACCAGCAGTTAGTGTAATGGCTATGCCGCTGGACTCCCACGTAGTCGACCACGGTTCACGTCCCGGACCCGGTGGTTTAAAACTCACACCGGGTGCGTGTGCGTGCGTGCCCAAGATCCCAAGAGGAGAATGGAGGAGAAGGGATTGCGGCGTGGCCATCCCCTCTGGGGGATGATTTCTCGCTTTCTGTCTGTCTCTCTCTGTCTGTCTGGCGAGTGCACGCGCCCTATAGCAAAAACCTCTAAAAA